CAAAAATGAGACACCATCAAGCGGCGCTGCCATCGACTCGAGGGGGAACTTCATGCTCCGGAGGCGTGTCTTGAAGCCAGGATTGTCCTGGTGCCACGCATGCCACGCCACCAGTGTCTTTTCGGGACTTGTGAATGCTTCCTCTTCCGGCATTGAGTTTCTCAGGAGGTCTTTTGAACTTCGAATTTTAAGACTTAAGGCTTTATGGTAACAGGCTAATGCAGGAGTAGTCGATTCTTATTTCGCTTCGAAATTGACCGACTGAAGACACATGCCTGTGTGACTTTAACCTCGTCACCCTCTCCATCAGGTTCTCGGTCATCTCGCTCTTGATCGACAAGCTGTATGTAATCTTCACCTGGGTTTCACTCCGTCCGACTGAGAGCCCGAGCCATACATGGAGATTGCCAAGGTCAAGCCCTAAAAAGAGGATGAGCATTAGGCACAGTCAGCATTTGCCGATGGCTTGTTCTCGATGAAGTGGGAGAACGGTCGTTCCTCGATGCGGCTGCACAAGGTGACCGAACTCATGCATCCCGTGATAGCAGAAGTTACAGCATTCCGCAACATTCGGTTTAACGCCTTGCCAGGACCGACCAAGCAGGGGCCCTGGCCGAGCCATCAAAGTTGACAGCCAAGGTGTCTCCTGCTGATGGTCAGGGTCAGGGGCCACGGCGTCTCCCAGGTGCACCAGTGAGGCGGCTTCTCAGGCCCTAAATTGAATACAAAAGGGTTCTATCGCCCGAGTTGTCCGTCTGCCTCCCATGCCACTTTGGCGCTTTTTCACAACAGCGCACTCAAGAAGCATTGCGAGGGACTTCAGCGACAAGTGCGGTATCAGAGAGCCGTAGCCATTCTCATAATTTAATCTGTGGCACATCTCTTGGGCCAATGCATGAGATAGCTGATCGGGGGATTGATATCTGAGTCTCCCTGATGCACGTCTTCGCCCGAATATGCCCGAGTTGATTGCGTCCGAAGCCGAAGTGTGTGTAAAGTCTTGAGTTGGGCGGCATATCTTACGCCAGTGCGTGAGCTGGTTGATCGGCTTCTTTCATACCGGAAGCGGATTCTGGTGAAGGAAGTGAAAAAATGCTTCTGGAGCCTTGCGGACAGTCTCTAGAAAAGCAAGTGCTGCTAATCTGAGCAACGAGTTCGTCGTTGTACTGACCTGAGGTCCGCCCCTGTCATAGCGGCCAGGGGCCAAGAGTGCCAATCCGAAAGTGTGTCGCAAAGATGACTGACAGTCTCTTCCCCTGTCCTCTGCAGGTTCATGTGCTGGAAATCTGAGCGGTGGCCGAGCAAGCGTTTCTGCATCAGCGGGCAAACTTTTGCAACCCACTTGGTCGGGCCGATGTTACGTTTCCAACTCTCGATTCGGCATGCACGTCCTTAACCCCTCACTTGTGTACTGCTGCCTGTTGCCAACTGCTTTCGGCTCAGGGTTGCAACTCGGCAAAGGTAGTGTAGGGTTCGTGGAGCAATGTGCTCTATCATGTGGAAGTGTCCGAGTATGATGCCTATGAAGGTTGTGTCTCAGCTGTTCCCTGGGCCCGAGAGCAGCTGGCCCAAAATTTCGGGCTGCCAGAACGAGCCTAAGCGAGTCGGCGGCCTTTCCCCTGTACAAGTTCATCTCAGCACGATGCCGTTTCCCGCAGGACCGATAGACAGGAAAGGCCCGTTGCCGAGAAAGCACTGGATCTGGATGAGTGAGACCGAGGAAGCAGCAGCATGGCAAAGCCTACAACCGCAGGTCTATGTGGACAACATCCTTACCAAGTTGTGTCCTCACTTGCCCAAGCCATTTCTTCGATCGTTGCTGCCGGATCCAAGAGCAGACTTCACCGAGGCAGACTGGAAACATGAATGCTTTCGTGCCCGAAGGCGCCTCAGGCTCTTATGCTGGCTTCACAATCCTTCGCTCAAGCAAATCGCAGCCCATTCAAGGACCTGGAGACACAATAAGCGGACCACATATTTGGCCTCCCTTGTACAGATGTGTTCCCACTTGCCCGAGGCATTCGTCCGATCTTGTTTGCCGGATCCTATGGCAGACTTTAGAAAGACGTGCTGGGAAGCTGCATGTTTTTCTGCTAAACAGCGTCTCAGGCTGCTGTGTTGGCTTCACTTCCCTACTCTCGGCCAGATTGCAGATGGTGATGTGGATGAGCAGCGGTCCGAGCCAATGTAAGTTTCACTATCAGGTCCGAGGGGTGTTTTGCCATTGCCGCTTAAACTTTCAACTTGCATAGCCTCATATGGAGAGACATTGGCAGAATGCCCCTCGCATAAATCATGAGGGCCCGGGGACAAGCCCGAGAACAGAGTCAGAGGGGTTTGCTGGCAGCGTGGCAAAACATTGACAGGCTTGCTGTTGCTGTCGTATGTCGTCGTTGACGTTCTGGTCTGGTGATGTGTCTCGTTGTTGTGTGTGTCTATGCCTGCTGATGCTTGATGCTGCTGCTTCTGGGGTTATCAATCAAAACACAAATAATTTTTTAATTGTCCCCCGGGCCGCTTTTTAACCCGAAGTAAGGATTCCGGATCCACTTAAAAGCCTTTGCTGCTTTTTAGTAACCCTAAAACCCTAAAACCCTAAACCCTAAACCCTAAACCCTAAAACCCTAAACCCTAAAACCCTAAACCCTAAACCCTAAACCCTAAACCCTAAACCCTAAACCCTATCCTATGCTGCTTTTTGGTATGAGGCACTACTTTAAAGCACGAAGCCTCGACTCCGGTACCTTTGTTTGAGCAAGAACCCAGGGCTTCAATCCCTGGAATCAAGGACTTACACCCCATGACCTTGAACGGCAGACTGGTAGCTTTGGTGAGACTCTGCAGACCTTGATAGCGGGTTCGAACATATCCTTGGATCTCATTTTGGGATACTAGTTGTAGCGGCCCCAACACGAGATACCCTGGGCACAGGCTGTTTGAGGCCGCGTCGGCTGTGCGGCTTGGCTAAGTTTTTGATGCGACATCCTACACGCACCAAGTCCAAATCCTGACCTGAGCACGTAAGCCTTGTAACCATATACACATGTGTGGACATTTCGGTTCTCCGAACCCTAAGCCTTAAACTCCCAGCCCCAGCCCAGCCCTAAATCCTTAGCTCTGAAGTCTGAAGAGAGAACTCTGAGGCTATGTCACTACCCATAGGCTGCATTGTAGTTCCTTTTCGGATTACCTTATAGGATCATAAATACGAACCACAAGAAGGAACTACAATGGAGCTTATAGGTATACCGGTGGCTAGATGCACCTCAATGCTGAACCGTAAACCTGAACACTACGGTTCCAGTCACCTAAATAGTAGGTTACTAGCCATGCCTCAACCCCAAATAACCTACCTATTTCAGGACTTATATAAAGAAATCATAATAAGGAACCCTAAAAAAGTAGGTTCTTTCGGGTCCCAATATACCATGACCCCGCAACCTATGATTTAGGTAGCTGGAGCCCTAGGGAAAATCTGGAAACCTGTAAGCCCGTACGCCCTATAAACCCTAAAAACAACACCAAACCCTAAACCTAAACAATCCTAAACCCTAAACCCTAATCCCTAAACCGTAACAACAAACTTCACCCTAAACCTAAAAAAAACACTAAACCCTCAGCCCCAAGCAAAAGCCAAGCCCTAAACTTAAAAAAGCAAACCCTAAACTCTAAACCCTAAGCAACAACTAAGCCCTAAACCAACAACAATCCTAAACCCCAAACCCTTAGCAAGAACTAGGCCCTAAATTAAAAAAAGCCCTAAATCCTCAGCAAAAAACTATAAGCCCTAAACCCACAAAAATCCTAAACCCCAAACCCTAAGCAAGAACTAAGCCCTAAACCTACACCAAATTAAACCCTAAACTCTAAACCCTAGGCAAGAACTGAGCCCTTAACCCAACAAAAATATCCTAAATCCCAAACCATGGGGCAAGAACTAAGCCTAAACTAAAACTCCTAAACCCTAAACAAGAACTAAGCCCTAAACCAAAAGCATCCTAAACCCTAAACCCTAGGCAAGAACTAAGCCCTAAACTGAAAACAAGTCCTAAAAACTAAACCCTAAGCAAAAACTAAGCCCTAAACTAAAAACAAATCCTAAACTCTAAACCCTAGGCAAGAACTAAGCGCTAGACGAAAAACACATCCTAACCTAGGCAAGAACTAAGCCCTATATCTAAAAACAAATCCTAAACCCTAACCCTAAGCAAGAACTAAGCCCTAAACTAACAAACAAATCCTGAGCTTTAAGCCCTAAGCAAGAACTAAGCCGTAGACTAAAATAATCCTAAACCCTAAACCCTGGGCAAGAACTAAGCCCTCGACTAAAATCACATCCTAAACCCTAAACCTTAGGCAAGAACTAAGCCCTAAACCTAAAAACAAATCCTAAACCCTAAACCCTAAGCAAGAACTAAGCCCTAAACTAAAACATCTTAAATCTTGAACCCTAAGCGAGAACTTAGCCCTAACTTTAAAACATATCCTAAAACCTAAACTATAACATGTCCTAAACCCTAAACCCTAAACACTAAACTTAAAAACAATCCTGAACCCTATACCCTAGGCAAGAACTAAGCCGTAATCAAAACATATCCTAAACCCTAAATTTACAAAAATCTTAAACCCTAAACCCTAAACCTAAAACCCTAAACCTTAAGCAAGAACTAAGCCCTAAACTAAAAAAACATCCTGAACCCACGACTGTAGGCAAGAACTGAGCCCTAAACTAAAGAACGTCCTAAACCCTAAACCCTAGGCAAGAACTAAGCCCTAAACCTATCCAAAAATCCTAAACCCTAAACCCTAGGCAAGAACTAAGCCCTAAACCTAACCACAAATCCTAAACCCTAAACCCCAGGCAAGGAAAAAAAGCTTTAAACGTAACCAAAAATCCTAAACCCTAAATAAACCCTAGGCAAGAACTAAGCCCTAAACCTAACCAAAAATCCTAAACCCTAGACCCTAGGCAAGAACTAAGCCCTAAACCTAACCAAAATTCTTAAATCCTATAAACCCTAAGCCCTAAACCCTAAACCCTAAACCCTAAACCCTAAACCCAAAGCCCAAACTGCTCTGAGGCCGGTCGCCTGGAGTTTGACGTTGCTCTCCAACCCTCGCTGGGCGCGGCTCCTCGGAAAGGACCGCAGCTGGCTCCGGGCTCTGCCCCTCGGATGTTTAAGTTTAGGGTTTAGGGTTTAGGGTTTAGGATATGTTATAAGTTTAGGTTTTAGGATTTGTTTTGAGTTTAGGGCTTAGTTCTTGCTTAGGTTTCAGGATTTAGGATCTGTTTTAGTTTGGGGCTTAGTTCTTGCCTAGGGTTTAGGGTTTAGGATTTGTTTTAGGGTTTAGGGTTTGTTTTTTTTTTGGGGTTTAGGGTTTAGGGTTTAGGATTTGTTTTTTAGGTTTAGGGTTTAGGGTTTAGGGACTTTTTTAGTTTAGGGCTTAGTTTTAGGGCTCCTTTAAGGGCTCCTTCAGGGTTCTAGAAGCTGCAGGGTTGAAGTGGCATAGATTTTGTGAGGGGCTTGGGAGGTTCCGTTTAGACTTTTTTGTCGCAGTTTCTAGTGGTTTCGCGTGTGTCTATTCGTGCTCTTGTGCATGTTTTTTTGCATAGAAATGATACGTACTTTCGGATCAAAGCTACGAAGCTGCTGTTGCCGCTCTGAGGTCGCTGCAAGAAGAGCAGGCTGGCATTTCAGGGTCTAGGTAGATTCTGCAAGAGTCCTAAACCCTAAACCCTACCCTAAACCCTAAACCCTAAACCCTAAACCCTAAACCCTAAACCCTAAACCCTAAACCCTAAACCAAAAGCATCGAGCCTCCTTCTCGCAATTGCTTGGGGGCTGGGTTTAGGGTTTAGGGTTTAGGGGGGCTGGGTAGGTAACCTTTGACTCTTGTGGGTATAAGAACTTCCTGAGGGTTCAAGTGCCTGATTATCAGATCATATACTCTTCTGAATACTAGCCTACGAAACTAGTGTCCGTAACCCAAGGACATGACTATTAGCCCAAAGGGTCCAAGTTATAGTATGGTATATACTTTTGGGGCCCAAATAGCTACAAAGTAGCTACCATATTTTTACTTGGACCGTTTGGGTAGGTCCTTTGGGCCCTGAGAGACTTATGCCAGAACTACCTATGGTCTCCATTGTAGTTCCTTTTTGGGGTTCCCTTGTAGGATCCTAAATATATAATTGGCTTAACCAAAAAAGGAACTACAATGGAGACTATAGGTAAGGGGATAACGTTCTTGGGGGCTCGGGCCAGGGCAACCCCCGCTGCCCCCCTAAACCAAAAGGGTCTAAGTACGTATAAAATACCTACTATATGGGTACTTAGACCCTTTGGGAAAGACCTCAACCCACACCCTAGGCCCAAACCGTGAATCAAACCCCGAAATCAGGGTTTAGGGTTTAGGGTGAAGGGCTCCTTGGAAAGCGGGTGCAAGTGCCCACTGACAATGTATCTCTTCCAGCCTCTATGACTCTATGATATTTATCATGCCTTTTCGACGGTTGTGGGTTTAGGGTTCCGACCCCAGAAGTTGTAGATAGGTTCTGACGCAAGAGAGTTTAAAGGCTCATATGGTGGAGGCCGTTGTGGTTCAGCGATTGGCTAAGTTCTTAGCTGTACCCTAAGCCCTGAACCCCTAAACCCTCTAATCCCTCCCTGGGACCCCCCTTTTTAGGGATCCTTCTTCTGATTCCTTCTACAAATCCCGAAACAGGTGGGTTATTTGGGGTCCAGGTACCCTAAAACCCGAAACCCTCAACCCCTGAACCCCCTAAAGCCTAAATCCCAGAAGCCCCTAAGCCCAAAAACCCTAAAACCTGAAGCCCTTCAACCCTATGAGCTCTGAACCCTATGAGCCCAAACACCCTAAACCCTAAAGCCCTTCAACCCTATGAGATCTGAACCCTACAAGGGTTTAGGGTTTGCGCGAGACTCACCAGGTCTCACTCCACAAGCGCATGGTGGCCGCTGTGGCAGAGCGCCCGATGAGGTCCGAAACTTAGGCTTTCGAATTCCGGGAAGAGCTATGGGACCCATGGCTTCCCCTGATTCTTGAAGTTTAGGGTTCAGGGTTTAGGGTTTCGGGTTCAGGGGTTTCGGGATGTTTCGGGTTCAGGGGTTTAGGGGTTTAGGGTTCAGGGGTTTAGGGGCTTAGGGTTCAGGGTTTTGGGGGTTTAGTAGGGTTTAGGGGTTTAGGGTTTTGGGGGGTTAGGGTGTTAGGGGTATAAGGTTCAGGGTTTTACGGTTGAGGGCCTAGGGCTGTACGGGTTCCTTGAAGGCTTCCTTGCAGGGGCCTGTACAGGTGGAGGATTTGGGAGTTTCAGGTTTAGGGTGCATGATCGGAATTCGAGTTTACTGGTTTTAGGCTAGTGTTTAGAGTTTAGAGTTTAGGGGTTCAGGGTTTAGCGTTGAGAGTTTAGGGTTTTCCTGTTTAGAGTTTCAGTTTAGGGTTTAGGGTTTAGGGTTTAGAGTTTAGGCTTGGGTTAAGGATTCGAGGTCAAGGGTGGGGAGGCCCCAACAACCCCAGAAACAAGCTCAGGTCTGACTTTGCATGGAGGCTTGTTGGTCTAGCAGCAGCAGCAGCAGCAGCAGCAGCAGCAGCAGCAGCAGCAGCAGCAGCGCAGTAGCAGTAGCAGTAGCAGTAGCAGTAGCAGTAGCAGTAGCAGTGGCACTAGCAGTAGCAGCAGTAGTAGTAGTAGTAGTAGTAGTAGTAGTAGTAGACCTAGTTTTAATTGGTGCCCGTTCAGCGCTTCAAAGGTCATCGACCGTTCTCCCTTGGGCTTTTGGCGTGGCGCAGCTCTTGTGGCCACGCTTCGGCAAATGGTGCGTGGACCACGCGCAGGAAGCTTGACGACTTTAGCTATCGCTTGATTGGGAGTTTCAGAACATCTGGCCTCAATGAACCCGAAAAAGTAAGATGCTTGCTATCGGGACCCCCAGTAACAAGGAGCAAAAACAGCCGACTCTCAAGAACCCCATCCCCCTTTTCAGGAATGTCATGGTCAGGGCGTAGAAGCCTTGAGGGTCTGAACCTTGGTCAGATGGTGGCGGAGGTTTAGGGTTTATAGGGTTTAGGGAAGCAGCAACAGCCGTGGGTGCTACGAATTCTCATCTCGAAGCACGGTTTAGGCTTTCAGGGTTTGAGGTAAGGGTTCACCCTAAACCCTAAACCCTAAACCCTAAACCCTAAACCCAAACCCAAAGCCCATCAGGGTTTGATGTAAGGGTTCACCGTGATTTTTCTCATGGCGCAGAACCGTTGTCTAAGCGAGAGAACTAGGCAACTGAGCATGGTAATCCTTGCAACATAAGACCCCGGGATAATTATAGGCTTATAGGTGCCTTAATGATTATTAGAATAGGGTTTTCGGGCCCATCATACTATAACTGTAATATGGAACCCCCAAACTAGTATTGGTAAATATTCAGGCTTCTATATTAATTTAATGGATGCCAAGGACAATCTGCTGCGAGTCTACGACGAGTTGCTGCAGGACCTTCCATGGTTTCGACCCATGTTTGTTACATTCATGGCTAGCGCCTTTATCGGTGTGCTTTTGTTGTATGTGCAAGTGTATTTTTGGAGGGGCAGGGTGGTGGTAAAATGCTGGCTCAAGCCTCTAGACTCTAAGCCTAAGCTCTATAGACCCTAAGCCCTGCATTAAGGCTGTCGGCTTGTGGTTCCTCTTTGAGGGTCCGCTGTTGATTTAAGTTAGGGGAGGTGTCATGTTTGGGAGGCTTACATGCGGAGATTTGGACTTGCCACTGGATGTGTTCTCTGGGCCCTGAACCCTAAAACCCTAAACCCCTAGACCCTAAACCCTAAACCCCTAAACCCTAACCCCTAAACCCCTAAACCCCTAAACCCTAAACCCTAAACCCCTAAACCCGAAGCCTCTAAACCCCAACAACCCTCAACCGAACCAGGGCCTAAACTCCTTTCTCGCAGCACGACCCCAAAAACATCGATGGTTGCACCCTAAGACAGCTTCAGCGATTATAAGCCTTTCCCAAAGGGTCCAAAGTACCTATATAGTAGAATGTAGGGTTTCTAAATTAGGAATTGTTATTATGATTTGGGAAAGTATTCCCCATAACAGTACCTAGGGCCCTTTGGGTTTAACCGAAACCCTATAGACCCCTAAACCTTAAACCCCCTAAACCCTAAAACAGCTTCAGCCCTTATAAGCCTTCAACCGAAACCCTATAGACCCCTAAACC